GGTTAAGAAGGAATCGCTTTGCTTTCATAACGCGGTTTCATTTGGTCCTTTTCATACTGATACTTTTCCCCACTAAGAAATAGAAGAAACCCTTTCCCCAAAGATTTGGGTTTTTTGATGATGTAGTGGGGCTGGTCTTCAGCTAGCGGGGGTTGGTGTCACAGCTCGGGACTCTCACCCCCCAGCCCTGTCCCCCTGCCCACTCCCTATTTACTAAGGAGCCTCCATGGGGTCATGAGTGATTCAGAAGGGGAGAGGCTATTCTGCACAAACCCCCTAGTTAGTGCAGGGCACAGATCTTGGGGGCATGGCCAGGGCCCCAGTTTAATATAACAGCATATGTGAAGAAGACCAAGAATGCTTTGGTGTACACACGTTTCCATTTATGCATATTAAACCCCATTAGAAACATCTCCCCTCAAATGCAGCTGTTCCTCCCAGGCCTTTGAGAAGGAAGCACGAGAACTTGCCTAGAAGAGCATCACCTTTAGGAAACAGAGGCCTCCGGCCACGTACGCAGCCCATGGTACACAGGTGAGAATGGATGAAGCATGCTACCTAGTAGTGTGGAGCCACCGTGCTCTTACACAAACTAACACCTGCCTTCCCTTTTCTCTCCCCTCCGAGAGCAAAGCATCCAAAAGTCTCTTTGTGCGACTTCTGTTGACTTAACAGAGGCTCGAGTTTGTGCCCAAGCAGGAACCTGCTCTATGCCTTGGATAATTTCTTCTTTCTTCAACTCCCTGCAGGGTGGTCCCAAAGAGGATGGGGCTGGGCTGTTCCCAGTGGTGGCAGATGACAGGACAAGGAGCAATGGGCTCAAGTTGCAGCAAGGGAAGTTTAGGCTACATATTAGGAAAAACTCTCTCAGGAGAGAAGTAATGCATTTGAACAGGTTACCCAGAGAGGTGGTGGGATCTCCATTCTTGGAGGTTTTCAAGACCCGGCTAGACAAACTTTGCCTGGGATGATCTAGTTGGAGACAGTCTGGCTTTGATCAGGGGGTTGGACTGGATGTGACCTCCTGAGGTCCCTTCCAACCTTCATGTGCTAGGATGCGGCTGGGGAGCAGGTGATTTAAAGATGTGTGACTAAGCACAGCTGCTCATCCAAGCTAGAAGAACCAGTCCCTGCTGCCGAAGCACCTCCGAAGGTGAGAAACACCAGCTGTAGGTATTGAACTGCCAGATCAACAGGGACTAAGGGCATCTCAGGCCAGTAGAAAGCACAGCTCAGTCCGTACCTCTTTAAAGCCCGCTAGCGCAAAGCTTGAGGGCTCCCAGGTAAAGGAGCAGGTCTTTGGGAAGGACAGGGCCTACTGCCAGCACAAAATCCCAAAACTGGGGCACTCCACTACCTTTATCTACTTATTTCACTTTATTTTGTTGCCCCTCTCCTGGGCCAGAAGCCAGTCCACTAACTTTTGTTTGCACTGGATAAGGGCCTAGGAATGTATGGACACAATCAGCAGCTGGGATTTAAACATCTCAGCATCTGCCACTTTACATTTTTATTAGAAAAGAATCCAATTTGCTCCAATTCCCTTTTATGGACCATTGAATTTCAGTC